AAATTATCCCGCTAATTCTTGCCGGTTTACACCTCTTTCCGTTTCATTTCCGAGTTTTTGCACGGTTTTCTTCTTATTTTTTAATTAAACCTCCCGAACAGCTGATCGACAGCCACGCGCTCCGTCTCTCTTTTTTCTTTCTCCCCGCGATCTCTGTCGCTTCGACGTCCATTGAAGTCTCCTGACAAACGGGAAACGATTCGCCACCCGATCGATCATGGCCGTTAATCATGCGTGAATAAAAAGGAAGAAACCGAGGGTGCATCCCCCGGGCTCGCCGGTCGAAAACACACCCCTTGGTAAACATCCGAATGGATGCAACTCCACACTTTGCACTCCGAAATACGTGCAAACCGAGAGGGGCGATTTTTCCCTGTCCCTCTTTTTTCCTCTATTTCCTAAACAGGGAATTTCGACATCATTTGAAAGTACGGGATTTACAACCCCCTTAAATTAATCTAACACTCATTTATTAAAAATGTATTAAAAAAAAAACTAGGAAAATCCAGCATTATTATATATTATTCATTATAATATTTCGATTCCTGATAAAAGCACGGAAATTTCGTAAGCTGCAGCTTAAAATCACATCCACCGCCATGAAGAGAGATTTTCCTCTCCTGGTTTTCGATTTCCAAAATAGAAAATTCGACATTATTTAACGAAACGTGATCTGCACCTCTGTGAGATATGTATGAAATTACTGAAATAAAACCGAGAGTTTTCTCACTAATTTTTCTAAAAATTCGGGAAATTCCGTATTCCTCGTCAGGAATCTGCATCTCGTAATAAAATCACGGGGTTTACGTAAACTGAGCATTAAGTGCACAGAGGGTGCAGTTTATCCGGCGGTTTTGCGCAGCCCGGCGTATCCGTATGGTATTACACACATTGCCAAGTAGGTCTCTCTCTCTCTCTCTGATAGTCGCATACAGGATTCTGCACGGAGTTCCAGAGATTCCCGGGCTGAACTTCCAGCATCCTGGAAATCCTTCGGATAACCGGAGGCCCGCGGTTGTCCCGAAGGAGCGGACAAACTCCTGGAAAAGACGGATCGATCGGCGCATGGAGAAACGCGAAAATCCGGGATATTCCTCAAGAGGCCCACCAAAAAAAGTCGAAATAACAACCCCTCGCATAATTAGTCTCCCTAGAGTTCCAGGACAATGTGGAATTAGGAAATATCACTAAAGGGTAATTATGAAAAATCCGCCATGAGGCCCCAGCCCGGATTAGAAATTTTTCTTACCCCATCTCGAATGAATTTCCCTTACCTGGGGTTGAGAACGCACCCCCTTGACATTTTTATTTCTCCAGGTACAACAGCAGGATACTCGAGCAAGTAAGATCCGTCCACTTACCCCCTAACACGCGCATTTACCCCGACAGTGAATTTTCCTCTGGGCGAAAATCCCGGAGGTGGGGAATCTCATTCATGACCCGGCCATCCCCTTCTTCGGGGCGTTCATATTCAAATTTTTATCTCAACCCCAGATCCCCCGAAGTACCTATGTACAATGCATCCCTTGCATTGACCCCCGGTGTATTGGAGGCAGATATCCTTTTCCTTCCCCTCGAGCAACCCCTTTACCGCCTTATCACCGCCCCCTTTGCCTCCCTTTCTCGGAATCGGTTCGTCGAGGGACTGAAGGAGAAAATATAAATTCATATGTACATTATGTACGAGGTGCATCCTTACGTATCTCCATACAGGACTCTTTGGGAAGATGCACTAAAGCGATATCTCTCGATAAAAGGATGCACCCCCCATGTCCCTTTGAGGCGCCTCCACCGTTAAAAAAAAAAACTCCCCTTAATTTTAGTACGTCATGGCCGCGCAACCTGGTACCGCCAACCAGAACAATATGAGCATATTAAAAAAATGTAATCCATTTGAAATAATCGGAATTTTTATTTCAACTGGACTTGTATTTCTAGTGCAAAAGTTCCAGAGGATCAGAGGAACTCCGATGAAACGGGAAAATACGTTTCGGGGTGGTTTTCAAGAATCTCCCAATCTCGAGGAGACTCGACGAAGTTCCAGGGATCCCTCCAGGACTTCCGGGAGTAGTTTCGGGACGAACTTGTCGGGGAGTTCGTCATTTCCGTTGTTTGTCTCCGGCGAGGTCCTGCCGAATAATCGGCGATACGCGGCCACGAAAGTATATAGAAAAATACGTGCGTGGGTGTATATAGAGGGGGTAACTCACCCCTAAGGCAAGAAGATTTACATTAAGCGCCCCTCCCGGCAAACACCGAGTCGAGAGGGGTTGTCTCGGTCTGTTGTCGTCGCAACCCTTCCCTTTCCTCGATCTCTGAAGATCCGACTTTCCGCTCGGTGCATTCGTCTAACCCCAGGGAAGGGGTTGCTTCCCGGAGCAAGATCTCGGAAAAGTTACCCCGTTTTCTTCCCCTCCCCTCCTCGCCGGGAATATCAAATCCTCCCCGAGAGACTTCCGGATATAAGCCGAGGGTGAGAATACCTCCGAGAATATTTTCCAAATTTACGACGCCCCCGCCGAATCAAAACTCACCCCCAAGGGAGATAATAGATTTAAAAGAGAATTAAATAGGAAGAGGGCAAAATTAAGGGCGGTAATTAATTCCCTGAAAATCCATCTTATATTTCTCCCTCCTCCCACCGTAATTCCCATGTTTTTTTCTTCATGCAATTTTCTTTGCATATTTCAATTGTTATTGGCGACGATGAACTCTTCTTTAATTTGGGGGACGGATTGAAAATCTAACCCCGACGCATTTACGGGGACCGAGTCCTGAAACTCACCCCTTCTTCGGAGGGGTTGGAACTCCTCGAACATATCCGTAAAACGGAAGTGGATTTTCTATGCCCCCCTTTCCTCCCGATCTACGTGTACCTAGGTAAAAGCGATCCTGACGCGGATGTTGGCGATCCTTTTCGGGGAAGCACCCTTAAAATACGACCCCCTCGGTTTGCTCATACATCATGGGGTAGTTTCTCGTACACGTATGCACATACGTTCCAGGGATATCGGCCCTGTCGTTCGAAGGTCTTGACATTTCTGCCACGTAAAGCGGACCTATCGGCGAATCGATTTCCGAATTGATACCAACACCCCTCCTCAAGCCGGCATTAAAATCGTACACCGAAATAGAACGCAGGAATAGAAAAAAAAAAAAAAAGGGAAATAAGTAACGCGCCCCATTTTACGGAAAATCTACCCTCTCACGAGAGGACCCAGAAAAATGGAGGAAATTCGGAGATCTCCGCGAGAGAGAAAGACAAATTCGAGGTTACTGGGACGGAAAATTTACTCCCAAAAAATCTGACTCTGCACATTTTCCCCCAATCTCTGGGGGATTATCCCGAGCTGACGAAATTCCACGGACGAGTCGAAATTGATCTCCGAGGTGCCTCTTTTTGGGAACAATTATTTTCAAGACGTTGGATTTCAAAGGGTTATTTATTAGCTCGCTTCAAGGCGTGGACGAAATCCACTCCAAATTTCAGGAAATAATTTTTTCTGGGGCATTCCTCTGCGTGGGGGAAAAATGTTGAGGGGGGTTAACGAGGTGACTTTTCATCCTTGTTGAGGAAATCATTTTTTCAGAGACTCCGGGGGTGTAGGAAAAATAAATGCGAGACCTTTCGGAGCGGAGCGAGCTCTCTGGCGTGGAAACGGCAATTCGGCGGCCCTCTAAATGGCCATTTCTATTATTTGCCCCCCAGCTCCCATCTACACGCTTTTCCGGCTGGAAATTCTCTTTCGCTGACCCCTAACGAATATTAAGTTTTCACGGTTCGGTTCGATCTCTATGGAGATGGGAAATCGAGCTGGATAAGCCTCTGGTTTCTGAAAGACGGAGCCGAGTAGGGTGGTCATTCAATTCGAAGGGAATCCTTCGTCATTAAATTTCCACCCCCGTCCCCTGCGGGGCTATTCTGCCCCGAATCGCTTTGCACCCTCCCCCGGGAAGCAGAGATTCCCCGAAAGCTAATAAAAACACGTAATTACACATTTCTTCGGTTCAATTGCATCGGATGCGCTCCCATTTCCGGCGATGCATTTCCGGGGCACAAGAACTGTCGCCATTTGTAATATTGCCTTATTGAAGTTGAAACTACAGATCTATGAATTCCGGGAAATTATAACGCGCCCCCGGGTGCATCATTGCCGGACTGGATGCGTGCAATAATGCAATCCGCATGCACCGTGGTGCATGGTGCATGGGGTGCATATATATGCACCGAAACTGGAATTCGGCCCGATGGGAATTCTCGGAGTAATTCGCGGGGCGTAATTTTCGGTAGTATTTAATGCAAGTGTAAAAAGGAATGTCGTAGGAATTAATTGTCCCTCGTGTTAATATTAATCGGAGACGCCAAGTGTTTATTGTAAATATTTTTAGAGTGAAAATGAACGGCAAAGAAATTCGGAATGTCCGTAACCGTTTAATAATACCTGGAGTGAGATAATACTCGTTATAAATATTTTCAGAGCGGGAATTAACGTCGAATTAATTATACGACCGAGTGCAATTTTAAAGCTCGTTATTTAATACAAGACAGAAGTGGCCGACTGCACAAAGGCTCGACCCAGGGGAGACGGTAAATTCACCGAGTGCAATTTAATGCACTCGGTGCATACAGTCGACCTCATCGAGGTTGTTAATTCAGGACGACAGCAGTCTCGGCCCACGTAAGTCAGATCGTAAATTCCCAATCAAATTCAGATTGGCCCCGAAAATCGATCCGGGCCATTCGACGGTTCCCGAGGGACTCTCGAGAGCTCGACAAATGCCCGGGCATATTTTTTGGCTGGCTTAAAAATCCACCCTCCGACGTAAGACCTTTGACTGCCCCCCTCCATTCTATTTCTCCCTCGTCGATGGATTTTAATTGATCGGCCTCGATTTAATTTCCCAGCGCCTTTCATATCGCCTTAATATTGTTTCTCCTGTCGGGAAATAAGTCCCTCGTTCGTTGTAACTACTTTTTTAGGAAAAGGAAAGGTACTCACGATGCACCACTCGGCCGAGGGCGGACACTCCTTCAGGTGCATGTGCGCGGTGTAATTGATGCAGGGGGTTATGCTGCCGACGCCGTCGTTGTACTGGCCGCACTTGAAACAGCTGAGACCGTACGAGGTACCTGAAACAAGCGAGACCATTTTTCCCATGAATAAGGGAGAGAAAAGCAGCCAAGGAAAATCTACCGGGGCGAGAACGAGAATCCACCGTCCGCGCGGAAAGGAGAATAAATTTACACTTCCAGGAGAGGACAACATGGCCGATAAATCATTCCTCTCACCGCGGGAACAATTCCACCGCTAAGAATAAATATTCCCACCTACATCGAACAAACTGTGTTTAACATTTTTTCAAACGAATAACGTTTAAGCGAATTAAATTTTTCCGCGGCCGTCCAAAGTCGGGCATCTAGGATGCACCCTCCACCCCGGTGCATCCTATGCAAGTCCCGGTGATAATGAAAGAGATCGCGGGATAACGACGGACCCTCGTAATCGCTAACCGGGAAACAAGTCGACGATTGTCACGCTCTCAATTATCTGGCGTATCCACGCAGATTTAATGGTAACGAGGTCGCGAGGGCAACGAGGGGACTCGAGGGCCCGTCCAGGTGGAGGGCACATCGTGGATACGAAACCGGGATTGTCGACGTTCGCCACGTGTCGGTGGTACTCGCAAATCAATCCCCGCTGCCGATCGATCCGCGATTTCGGCCGATCGACCTCCAATTTTCTTCCGCAAACCGGCCGGAAACGATTTCCCAACATTCGATACCCTCCCATCGTACCTTAATTGGTTTTCGCGGCCGGATTGGAAGTGCACCGATGTCGCGCCGTTTTCCCTGCACAGTGCAGCCGATTAAACGCTACGATTTGTCGCTTACCCAAAATTTCACGGTTTTTTTTTAGACACATGACGAGACAGATACTTAAAAAAATTATGGGCTCGTTTTTAACATCTGATAAAATCCCCATCGCACCTTGATTTTCTTTCGCGGCCGGATTGAAAGTGCATCGTCGCCTTGTTTTCTCTAAGCATTGCAGAAGACGTCAAGAGAGTCTGAAAACCAACCTAGGCTAGCCGATTTCCACCGATATCTGAATTTTCCTGGGGAAAAGTGTCCTTTAAGAATGATAAGTGAAGACGCGGAGCGCGAGTGTCTCTTATCGGCCGATTTCTTTTTTTTTTTTTTTTTTTTCGAAGAACGTAGACAGCGAAAAAGTCAAGGAAGACAATGAAGGCTGAAGACTGAACTGGGCCAATTTTTGCGGGCATTCTTCGGGTATAAAGGAGGTTGCTCCGATAACCGGATATCAACCTGTCAGAGTCTATCCGGTCAAGAGTCGACCGTCACCTCGGCCTTGCTTTCTCGTGCCTCGGGGATGCTTTCGGAGGCTGCACTTCCGGCACAACGTTTTCGTTCCCCTTTGCCAGAACGTCCTCTTTCACGTTCCGCCCCCTCCCCCGCCCTTTCCTGTTCGCCGATGGGCGACTTTTCCAATTTCCCGAGGTATCGACTCCAGAGATTCGATACCCGATCCGGGACCTCCTCGAATGGTAACCACGCCAATTTCTAGCCATTTACACCCTCTGTGTTTCTAGCCCGACTTCCGGCGGAGCAATTTCCGCCTCCTTAAAATATAAATCAATCCCCGCCGGCCTCTCTTCCCTCTTTAACCAGTTAAGATCATACCTCTCAATTACCTCCAATTAAGAGGAATCCCCCTGCAAAGCCGCTGAAAGGGAAAAACTACACGAGAAGCCGGATATTTATTTCCCCGATCTTAAATACAGGTATTGCAAGGAATTTTTCATACGCCAAAAATAATAATTAAACAAAAACTATTGGCAGGGTTGTACCGGTGTAATAACATTTTTTTTTTTTTTTTAACACGTTCGAGGTCGAAATGCAGTTCGCTGCACTATGCACCCTCCCGTGCATCCTGTCGCGCGATGCACCGCGGAAAGGATCCTGGGAGGAACCTGCAAGGATTTAACCCTTTCGGTGCATCCTCCTCCTTGGGTCGGTTTCCGAGGGTGCAGGAGTGTACCGTGGATGCACTTCTTCCGCGACCCTTCCGACTTCCGGGGCGCATCCTGCCCTCTCTCTCTCTTCCTGAGCAGCCTCCCTTCCGGTAACAACCTTTTGAATTACTCTCTCTCTACCGTCTCCCTTACCCTTTCAACTGTTTCCCACGACGGCGGCGATGCCGGTAAATGTGCACCCTTACCTCGGCCCCACGTGACTAATGCACTCGCGACACGATCGGGTGCATTTCCTCTAACCTGCCGCATTGCGCGCCCTGCATTTTATGCATCCCTCCCCCGTCCCCCTTTGCGCCGGATTTCGGCCCCACTTACTTTTCCCATCCGCTGTCTACTTTCGCGGAACGTCTGTCTCCGGAGCCTTTTATTTCCCCCGACGTGAAGAGAGGGCAAAAGGAGGAAAACTGGGAGAGAGAGAGAAAGGTGGAGCTCACCGGAGAAATTAACACTCCCGAATGATGGGATTTCATTCTCCACGGTCCATTTCCTTCTCCTCGCAATTTCTTCCCTCCACCCCGTGGCCGATTCATCCGCTTTCCTTAGAAAAGGCCGAGATCGAGGGAACGTCGTATCAGGGTCAGATTTTCGTTTTTATCATCCCCCCGCCCTTATATACAAAGGGGTCCGAACTCGCAAAATGCACTTCACCGCCGAGGAGAGTCCTTTTCCTTTTCGGCCCGATCACCTTCGCGGACCGACCTCGAACTTCCGGGCGAAGGGCTCGAACCGGGTCTTCGCAAAGACGGGGGCCACCCCTAAATCGCGGAACCAGAGGAAGGAAAGGAATAATTAGCTGGCTAAGCACCGACGAGTGCTCGGTAGGGTACATGCACATTGTCGAGTGAAGATCCCGCCCAGCTGTGGTAGCCGGGAAGAGGCCACCCGGGGCCACGGCCGTGCCTAATCTGCATCTAAACCCTGGGGCAATGCATGAATGCACCTCGGCCACTTCAATATCGCGGTACCACCGTACACACGCACACACATACCCACCCTTACATCGGCCTCTTAACCTTACCGGCACGTTTCAAAGCTGTCGCTATTAAGGGCCAACCTTTTTTTTTTTTTGGGGCGGCACGATGCCCCCGTCCTTGGGGGGTGTCGGCCCCCGGGGGGGTCGCGACACAGAATCGGGACTCTTTCCCTTGACTTCAACGAATCTTCACCTACTGGGACGGATCGCCCCTGGGGGGTGGAGGGTGCTCCTTCGCGCAGCATCCGGAGTACGATCAGTATGCAGGGGTGCGATGCAACCCCCCCAAGCTGGACGTCGCGCGCACTCGCGCCCCTTATCGAGACCCCCCCCCATGCATCCAAATGCATGCGATTGCATCCGAATGCACCCCCTCATGCCCCCTGTGGTCGGGCCGTACGGGGTGACTCGAGATCTCGGTAAGGGGTGCCTTCCAGCTCCTTTGTGCACCTGTACCGCGGGGGTGCCCCCCCGACACACACCCCCAAACGCATTCTGGACACGTCCACGGTTCCCTCTGGACAGATTATGCCGGAAATTTAAAGTGACGCGCGACTTCCGGCTCTTACCGAAAAACTTCTCATGGATTCGCCCCCAGGGAGTGGCTCGTAATCAGGGGATGACTGCGCGGTACGTAAATCCCTACCCCCTTAAGTCGCGGACGTATTACCCCAATTGCATATGGAAGCTGTCCCGGAAGTTCCGCCGTGCGCGGTGATACGCTTCCGGGACCGGTACGCGCACCTCCGGGAACATATTCGGGACACGTACGAAGCCCGGCGGGAACGATCGACGGAGCTTCCGGACAGATTATGCGCGAATCCGAGAAGCGGTTTGGCGGGCGCGGCCCGAACTTCCTGGGGGGGGGGCGAAATTGCCGTAGAAGACGCCGAGGATGCGGTTCCGGACAGGTTCGAAGTGCCGTTCCCGATCAGCTGTTCCACGACCTACCCCCCGAAAGTGCCAGTTCCCCCTCGAATCAAAAACCAACCGAGACAATATATTCTCCCCTTCACTTAAAACAATGCATTTTAATTCCAGCAAAGCGAGATATGGAAATCGCACACTAAGTCGATCGCTCCCGGATTAGGGAAAAACGACGTTCCCTCGGGATATGGCGGATCCTAGGTAATAAAAAAATCTAAACGATTTCCAACCGCGGAGATAAGTAAATCGCGGGATTTCGATCGCCGGGGAAAATCCGGGAAACGCCTCCTTCCCTCGGGAATGGCGTACTGGGGGTTCCCCGTGAATCTCTAAGGGACCTCGTCGATTCCCGACACGTTCCCGGCGGTAAGGAAGGCGATCGTCGAGATTCCCGAGGGATGGGCCCCGATTCGGGAATTTCCGGGCGATCAACTAAAACGACGTGGCGTTTCTCAGTCCCCCCCCTCGGTGATAAAAAATGGAAAGAGGGCGGGAGGGAAAAATGGGGAAGACCTAAGGGTCCAGGGGATGCAAGAAGTCGGCCCCGCTTCCTCCTTAGAGCTGCGTTAAAAATTCTCCGTCCCATCAGGACGGGGGTACGGAAAGAAAGAGAGGGAGAGAGAGAGAGAGAGAGAGAGAGGGCGGGAATGGGAAAATTGACGTACAGAGGAGGTGAAAAATAAGAGAGACCTGAGCGAGGGTTTGCCCAGGTGGGTAGGGGGTGGCGGAAAGGGGTGGAGGCATGGGCGACGCCTCAGCTGGGTTGGGCAAACTGACCCAGATAACAGTGAATGCACTTGGTGCACTCCGGTGCACCGCGGAGTCGACTGGGGATGTCCATATAAATTCCTCCCCCTAACCCCTCGCTAAAGGAACAATGTCATTTCGGGACATGGATTGATGCCATGTCCGGCATGGCGAGTGCATAGGCCCAGGAAAAGAAATTATGCAACTGCGCGGTGTACGGACATGCCCGGGTGCAGGGGATGCACCCCGAGATACCGAATGTTAGGGGGAAATGAGAAATACGGAAGAGGTCTAATAGAAATATAAAAGGAACAACAGATTTCTGAAGAGAGTCCGACGAGACTTCTTGCACGGGTGCACCCGTGCACCGTGGGAAATAAATTATGCAAGTGCTTACAGGCGAGTTCGAGGGTACACGTGCAGGTGCA